TAATATTTAAATTATTCAAAATATTTTTATATTTTAAATAAAATAGTAATACAGTTACATTTATTTAAATTTATATTTTTGCTATATTTTAATTAATCATATTATCTGAATGAAGTAAACGAAAGAATAAAATGTAGTAGGTGAGTCGATCAACGCTATAAGTCGTGCAATTTTGCACGTTCAGAATTGCTCGTGTTGTCACCACCGACTACTTAAAGGGCTCTCATTAATTTCTTTGTCGGAGGTATTTATTAGCAAGATGACCCAATTGCGCAGCTCCATTCATATGGATATTGAAGCTTAGATCTATCGTTATCACGGCAGTTAGCGGCAGCTTATTTGCTTTCTCGAGGGAGTGAAAAAGCTCCTCGATTGCATTTCCTAGTTTAGCGAAAGAGATACTGAGAGCAATTTTATTTTATACATGTATTATCAACTACATTTTAGGTCTATTTATTTTAGAATATATTTTGGAATTTTTTATTTTTTATTAAATTATTAATAATGAATAACATTTTTATTTATTTAATATCAATATTATAATATTTAATATTTTAAACAAAATACTTAAAATATATTTATTAATAAATTTTAAAATATAATATATATTCTTACTTTAATAAATAATTAATATAATTTATAATATTTTTTTGGTACAAATATAATTTATAATATTTTTATTTCAATAGAATGTATTAGTCATAATATTTTTATTTACAAAATTATCAGAAAAAACATTTTAATAATGATAATGAATAAATTATTTTGATATTTCAAAAATAATAATATTAAATTTTTATAATAAATTATATTATCTGTATTTAATATGTCACAAATAATTTCTAGAAAATTAATGAAAATGATTTACACGGTCTCTTCTAAACACCGTAAAACGTTTTCCATAATATATAATTCATTTTATGAAAAATATTTTTCAGAAAATTTATATTTATGGAAAACGTTTTACGGTGTTTATTGATTAATTTATATTTATGGTTTTACTTTGAATATAAATAGAAAATTTAAAATTTATTGATTAATTTTTATATTATGTTAATTTATTATAAAATTAAATTAATATTTTTATGGTTATATGTTACACGTTGTGTTAAATTATAAGCAAACAAAAAAAATTCTTTTTTTTAAAAATATGTTGATAATATATAAATTAGTATTGTAACGCCCTAATCCAGTACAACCCGAAGATTTACAGACTATGACGTCACGCGGACCACCGGAGTAGCTAACCCAAAAAAAATTCTTTTAAAAAGACATATTTACGCACTTAGAAATTTATCCATCATACTATTATAAAAATAAATACACCATACTTGTTTTACAAATACGGAACCCGCAAAACAACTTGAATTTAAGTTTACAAAATATTTCACATATCGTTTTGACTCGATGTACAAGGGTTCATTTACAATATATGCCCACTAAATAATAAGCTGAGTCGTACTCAGAAGCTAGCAGTTGGCTGCTAAAATGGTCTAGGTGATGGCTCCTCCAAAAGCTCCTGCTACTAATCTGCACACGAAAACAAATTCCGAACGCTGAGCTCACAAGCTCAATGTTACACTAATAACCAGACTATATTATATGCATCCTCTATTTCACATACTTATAACATAAAATGTTAACATACGAATATGCTAACTAAATCATACATACAGAGGTAGGCATCATGGTGCGGCTGAGGAGCTATATCTCAGAGCTCACGCACCCCTTTATCCTACCTAGGATGGAAATCCATAATTCTACATTGGAAATGCACACCGAGCTAACTTGCTTCGTCGAGCCTTGGGGCATCTACATCCAGTTAGCAAAGAAGTGCCTAGCATAATTTCTTAGGGTTGGCCATAACTTAACATACATTCGTTCCCTTGTTTTAGAGTGATTCGGGTGTCTGTCTTATTTCTTGAACATCACACAAGGCAAGTCTTATTATTCCCTAAGTTATAGGATTTCTAAGTGAAAATTTCACATTATTTATATGGTTCTCACTTGGTGTCTTGTTGGAGAGTTTAAGGATGTTTTTTGGGTCTCTCAATGTTGTCTCTAAATTTCCCAAATTTCTTATTTGAGAAAGAAATGTGTTATTGATTCTGAACCCATCAGTATCGATACTGACTCAGTGGTATATCTGAGTATCGATACTAGACAGCTTAATTTAACTATAGGAGAAAGGGTAGTACCGATAGCTCTATGGGGAGTATCGATTCTTAGCCCTTGGTACCGATACTCCCATAAGTATCGGTACCAGAATTGGCCTCTGGAAAATTAGTTTCGAAACCCCTCCTTTAGGTATCAAGATCAAACCCATAGTATCGATACCTCTATGCATGAGTATCGATATTGCTGCCTAAAATTCCTTAAGTTTTTGCCTTGCATAAGAACAATATCGATACTGTTTCTTCTAGTATCGATACTGATGCTCGAAAATGCCCTGTTTGGGCATATTAAATCCTTTCTAAACCATCCTAGAGGCCCTAAGAAGGTCCCCAAATGTTATTAGTATCTTAGTTGAGTTCATTCCAGTCATAAGGAGTCATTATAACACTTAGAAACACATAAATCCATGACTTACTATAAACATGCTTATAACCTCCCAAAAACTAATGCAAGCTATACCAATGTATAAAAAGGCTTATGAATGGTTTAGGAAGGTTAGAAGGGTGTTACCTAAGGGTCTCGATAATTGGAAAACGTCTCATCCACCCAAGAGTTAACTTTCCTTACCCTTGCTTTGGAACCTTCTCAAACCTCTTTCACTAATGCAACAAGGAAAAGATATTACTAACTTATTTATGAGACCATTAGGAGTCTAAGAACATTTCTTAAAATTCATCTTACCCCAAAAAATAAGCTAGAATCCTTAAATTTCTTAAATCCCACTAAACCCATTTTAGTTGAAAGCTCAAAACTTGACATATGAGGCTTGAAATGAAGCTCTTGATATGGAGAATAACTTCCTTACCTTAGATGAACACAACTAGGTGTGGAATTCCTTAAAGCTTCAAACTTTGTTTCACTTGAAAGAGAGCAAAATGAAGAGAAGAGGAAGAGTGTTTGGTGAGGAAAAAATAGGGGAGTGGTTCACGTTAATATCATAGAAAATAAGGGGCTTTAGCTCTTGATTTGAAAAATGGAAAATTTACACTTTAGGTCTTCTTCCTTTTATTTCTTAATAAACTCATCCCAAAACTTATCACTTGGGCCTAAACCAAACCCAATTCCAACTTAAATAGATCCATACTATTCTAATAAATCCTTTGGGGCTCTATTTATGTATCTCGAGTCAACCCGAACTACTAACTCGAAATTTTAGGTATTACAAGTATGCCATCAAAAACTCCAAGGCTTGAGCATCAGAGTTGTAGTCAATCTCCTCCTAAGTCTCCGGTTGTTGAAGTTGAAGACGTTAATCTTTCGTTTATAGAACGCGATCATGGGTTACCGTAAGCCAATGTGGGATTATCTATATATATATATTTTAACTTTTATGTGAACGGGTGAATTTTAAGCATTTATAATTTTTTTTCTTTTACTAGTACGATATTTTGAATAATACGCATATTTTTTTAAATGGCCCCAAAAACAAAAATTGTCGTGTTTCTCCGTTGCTTAAAAGACTAAATTATTTTGAGGACCGGTGGTGCAAGAGGATCTGACTATGCATCTCTACTGTGACTATTTCATTGTTGGTTAATGGTGTCCAGAATGATGCATACTCATTTCATAATATAACAACTCGTGTCGTTTATTTGATTATTTCTTATTCATTATCTAACAAATTTTCAGGCAACTAGATAAAGGATACTCCTACCACAATGAAGAATTTGGGTCGAAATGAATTTGTACTGCATGATTGCCTTGCCGCGTTAAAACACGGCCTCCAGTCCACGGCAGTGCATTACACGATTATGCAATATCTTGGAAACGAAACAAAGGGTTAATGGTTGGGACTCCATAGAAGATCTGAATCTCTGCATTTGAAGAAAATCCCAACTCGTTGAGCATCTGCGGAATTCTATCATTTTTAGTGTTGTTTTATTTGTCTATTCTTTTAGTTGTCCGTAATAAGAGGACTGAATTAAAAGATCTAAGGGTGCGTTTGGTTCACGGAATGTAAGATTACCAGTCGGAATAAAAGATTATCAGGGAATATGATTACCGAGAATGTTACATTACTGTGTTTGGTTGATTTGGTAGGAATGTAAGATAACAGTGTTTGGTTGAATGAATAAAAGATTACTAGAATGTATATTTTACCAAATTGTATTTGTTCTATATTTTTAAACAAGTGAAATTCTAAATATTTAAATAAAAATTATTTATATAAAAATTCTATCTGTTGATAATATATTACTTAAGTATTTAAATATACCATGAATTATTTTAATTTTAATTAATATTAAATTTTACATAATTTATGTAAAAATATATTAAAATTTTACATCAACATTTAACTAAATGTTTACATTGTGGAAATTAACTTCGGTTCATACGTGACACATTCACTGGGAGGTTTCTTGTATTTTTCAATAGACAAGGTTTACATTCTAAATAGGTGAATCACGGCCAACAAAACCACTTTATTTTCATTAATACTGTTAAATATGTGTTTATGAATCACGGAGAACAAAGAATACCCTTTGTTAAAAATCGTAAGCAAATGAACAGTTGGGTTGTTATTTTCGTAGACATTGAGCTAGGAAGTTATGGAAAAGAGAATAATGAAATGAAATGAAGTGAAGTGAAGCTTAACATGTCCTTGAAAAATAGAGTTGTTCTGTTCCAAGATAGTGAACATAAGAATCGATTCTATTTCGAAGACATATAGAGCTAACCTTGCAAAAAGAATGATCATACATGAAAAAGAAAAAGAAAAAGAATCCATAGCTACCATTTAAAAGATGATGTTAAGTTGCAGGCGATGTTTCGAGCCAACTCATTTTGGACTAAAAAAGATGTGAACAAAGGTCAGAGAGAGTGTTCTAACCTATATATATTGCACGAAGCATTGCTTTGAGGTTACTAACATCATGATGTAGTTGAGATAAGAAAGTAGCAAGATCATCTTCATCAAGCAAATCAAGTGCTGTAGAATTATGTTTTTCTAAGACAGCATCCAATGCAGAGATGTAGGAATCATCCCTTGATTGTGCCTTGTTGATAAGGTCATACATCATATCTGTCACCTTAGACATGGCCGATACCACTATCAACTTTCTTTCTGAATCATCGCTAATAATTATATTTGCGACATTCTTGATCCTCTGGGAGGTCCCAACACAAGTTCCCCCAAACTTATGGACAGCCCACATGTCTCCCTTGGGAAGATTTACTTCATCCATCGATTTCTCTACAGAAATATCTGTAAAAGAGAGAGAGAGTAAAGATGTAACTTTTAAATATCAATAACCAGTAGTAAATAACCTACAGACTATTTGATTAAGCAAATATGTGATATATGTAACCATGTAAATCAGGCCAACATTAATTACAATGTTTATCCCAGCAGCTATTTTCTATTGGTTGAAAAGACGGACTAGTCAATTCGCTAGATCAAAGGACATATAAAAGTCAATCCATATAGTTTAATCTCTGAAATTTAGTCTCAACATTTACTGGAGTGGAATCGAACAAATTGCATAGAGTGTCAAATTTAAACCATAGGTTCAGCTTATGCATTATTAAGGTAGTGATGAGACAAAAACTGAGCTAATATAGCAACAATATTACAAAAATTAAATTAAAAAGTAAAAAGCCATCATCATTTCCTTCTTTTTTTCTGTTATCTTATTTTTACTCTTTATGTTTTGAAGACAAGAGTAGCTCCAGGTCTCTCTCTCTTAAGGAAATTATACATGGAAAATCTAAGTGCGGTACAAAAGTGGATCAAGGTAAAAGAAACAGAAGTCCAAAGTCAAAGCTGTAGAAAATTGCCTCTGGTACTGATTAACATTTAGATGATTTTAGTAAAGCCTAGCACCTAAATCAACGAACAAAGAGATCCAATACCCATTGACGCATACACACGGATAAAATACATAAGTTACACAACAAATAAATTCCATAGAAGTTCGTCTTAGATAATGACTATATCAGATAGCAATTGCAGATACGTCAATGATAGATACCAGAGAGAAAATTGAAACAGGCTTCAAGAGTAAAGATATGAAATGAATCCAAAACTTGCTATTAAAAACATGAAAGAGAACTACATGTAAAACAAACCTGATACTGAAGTCTGGGCACAGATAGTTAATGACTTCCCTCTTTCTAACAGAGAACCAATATTTAATATGGAATACATAGATAATAAGAGAAACTCATTAGCGTCTTAGTAAAATATTTTTTTGATAAAAATTGGAGGTCTCATTAAAAACTCCATTCGTATTCGTCCACATACTAACAAGTATGTTAACGAATATTGGAATGAAGAAAAGAGTGCCTTACATTTCATTAAATAAAAGGACAGGTTATTTGATGACAAGTCCAAAAAAATTACCCAGATCCTCCATATTAGCTACTTAAGTGTTTAAATTTATATTGTGGTGGGAAAGAAAACAAGGGTCCACATTTTCATTAAGCAATTAGCCTAGCATTGGAGTTTGAATTGGCTGAATCTCAATTGTGGATACATATTTGAGCATTCAACACATCAATAGCCTATGCCTATATTACAAGGACTCCAACCGTAGTTTTACATAGCAAAAGAGAGGCTCTAGGCATTAAGGTCCTTACAACACCATAGGCACAAAGCATCAAAAGCACTCATCACAGTGAAGTAAGTCGGTAGGTTTTCAAGGTTTGCTTAGAAACACGACCGTAATCATAAATACAGGAATTAAAGTAGCAAAAAGTTCAACCATAAAAAATAAATTAAAAGACACAATCGATCCATATTGAACTAAAAAGTTCATTTGTTATTCATAAAAGTATAAACAATATAAATATATTCACACTTCTTCCTCTCTTTTTCTTTTCTTTCTTTCTTAGATTTTTTATAAGCAACAAGCATATCAAGTCAAAATTTGGGAGCAAGATCAATCTATATACAACCGCTGTCCAATTTTTTATCTCCTTGCATCTAAGTTATGTACTTATAATCATAATCAAAGTAAGACCATATCGATTTTACCTCCATGAAATTAAAAACATTAAAAAGGGAAGAAACACTTCAAACATGCTTAAAGAGCAGAAAAACAAGAGATAAATGGATAAATAACGCGTTATAGCTATCATTTGGCCAACAATAAGCATCATTTCCTGAGAACCAAACAGAGTTTATAGAACTGGAGCGGAAAAACTGAAAACCTGTAAAGAGGAAAAGGCTTGGGAAGAGGAAAGGAGCGGCATTGAGGAGAAGGAGAAGAAACAGGATCTTCCGCTTAGGCAATGAGGTAGATGAGAGGAAGCATGAGGAGCCGGATATCGTGGCTGAGAAGGCCGCCATTAGCATCACTTGCAACAGTTACAACCACCACCTCCCCAAGCAAAACTAGAGTGGAGAAGAAATCTAAACTGGAGAAGAATTTTTGGCAGAGACAACTCAGGGGGAGAAGAAGATATCGCGCAGAGTCAAACTCACAGGGAAAAGAAGAGTATTTTGGAATAAAATAATACCTCACACACATTTGGAATAACATTTCCAGGAATAAAACATCAAAATTTATTATTGGTATTGGGAATATTATCCAATTAAACATGAGTATCTTTAGTTAAAAAAAAAATATGCCTGTTGGGAATGTAAAAATCGTTGATCCAAACGGGCTGTAAGTGGCAGTGTTTAACTTCAAAAAATACATAATATTTTGAATACATTCGACGACCTGATGCGTGAAGTTTTAGGTGTACTGTCCTCAATGCTAGCTCCTGTTTTCTCCCTTGGACCACTGAATCTTTCGAGTCATCAGGCCCACGAAGACGATTTGAAACAACTTGGGTCAAATCTATGGAAAGAGGACCCCAACTGTCTTCAATGGCTCCAATCAAAAGAGCCCAACTCTGTGGTTTACGTGAACTTTGGCATCATCATTGTGATGACAATTGACACCTGATCAGCTGACTGAATTTGCTTGGGGGTTGGTTAATAGCAACCAAGCATTTTTTTTGTGGGGGTTATTAGGCCTGATTTAGTATGCGGGGACTGGGAACTCTACACTTCACCATCTGATTTTTTACTTTGATCGATGACAGGAGCTTGCAGGCAAGTTGCTGCCCACAGGTACAAGTTTTGAGCGACCCTTCTGTTGGAAGGTTCTTGAATTCCACAATAGAAAGTATATCGTTTGGTGTTCCAATGATCTGCTGGAAACTAACCGCAATGTCAAGAGAGATTAAGTTGCTGGATGAGTTAACGGAACGGGAAAAAGGCAAAGCGACGAAGAAGATGGCGGAAGAGGCCACCAGCTTCCCCAATGATTCGCCTTATAAAAGTCTAAGCCAAATCATAAACCAAGTTTTGATCTCTCCATTAGGTTAAAGACACACCACCACTTCTTTACATGCATTTTCTGAACATTGTCATCAAACTTGAAAAGACTGGTTATAACTGAATTCTCTTTAAATTTTTATTTTGTGTGTTGACAAATCATTGTTCTAACATTTTCTTAATTCATTTGATCTTTGTACAGATATATACAAAATTTATAATTCCTAACCCTCTAACCAAGAAATAAATAAAAAATTTGAGATCACAGAATCAGAGCATGAATAATTTGGAACATGTTATATGCAGCAAACAATGTTGTAAAGATCAAACATTCCTCATATTGAATAAAAAAAATGATTGATAGGGATTTTTGTTGGGCAATAAATATGAATAAGGTTTTCAGGTTCATCTAGTTTAAAATAAAAAGGCCCAATGTTCATAACTATTATTAATTATAGTAATCAATATATTTGCAATACATTCATAAAAATTGAATTCCATCATTAACTTCTTATGTTACTGTCCTAACCATACAAATTAGATTAGCAGATCAAATAGCTGGTAAACGTTTGTGTTGATTATTATGGTTATATAAAAACAAAATAAAAGAAAAACGAAAATATCATTCTTATGTAATGTATAAATTTTGTCAATTACTGATTTTTTAATTAACCCCATGCACAGAAGAAAATCACAAGTTGTTGAGGCTAAATTGTTAAGCAAATTTCCCCTTTTTATTAAGGGAATGTGCTTCCCTTTTTCTGGTTCAAAGTTCATACAGTTTAGTTATGTAAAGGATGTTAAAACTCTTGATGAATGAATCACTTGACAGGAAAATAGAATAAGGCGAAAAAGATCAGCATAAGGCGGTTGATTAGTCCTCCTTATTCCAGCCATAGGCCACAGAAGTAAGTTGATGCAGTAGTACTCACCTATGGCCAAATCGTTGAGAATACGGGAGTGAAATAAGGTGATGAGAAGAACAATAAAAACTTATTAAGATTGTACAGTTTGATCATTTTAGCAGGGATGATGAGTTCTCCTCCCCTTTCAGGTTTTTGGACTTTCAGAAGTGATGGCCCCAGCATCTGTTTCTGTGGAGGGAGGCTGAGGAGTCTGAGGATCTGAGACCAAAATCAGTAACAAAATTTATGAAGGGCATGTAAACAAGTGAAAATAGCAAACTAATGATAAAGATGTGAGAGTCTAGTATGTATATTTCCATAGTTAGAGAAAATAATGCCCTAGCATCTGATGTTTCACTGAGAAACAGGGCCCCTCAGCCTGCCTGGCTTCCATGTTATGTCTTTGTACATTACATCGAACTGGGAGCATTGTAAATTTGGTTAATCTAATTGATGTAAGTTCATGGAGGAACATAAGAAATGGTTAAAACAGTGGGCAGTAAATAACATGGTAAGTGGGGCTCTCCACTTTGACTGCATGTTGAGAATCAATCAAAAGCATCATCCCTGATACTGAAACCACATGCAATCACTATTTGTTTACACTATGCTCCTCTGTCATGACTTTCTATTTGACCCATCATTCGGGTCATGCCAATAACCACACAGCTGATTCACATGTTTGAGGTTGCCCATGTGGCCCACTCTTCCTCTTTGGCGCATGCTACACTAAATCCCTAATACTATATATTATCTGTGTCAGAATTAGTATGTTTGAATCAGATGATAGAAAAATTACTCCCACTTACCAAGAATAAATACTAAAAGGCATATCAGTACTTGACTCAGGTGAGTTCTTTTACTCAAAGAAATGTGTATCATCATGTATATGGAGCCTAAATAATGTTGGTAGTAAAAAAAATTACAAGAATTATTTACCTGCAGAAGGGTGAAAGGGATGCCTAGTGAGATGGAAGGGTGGGGGAGGATAGTTGGAGAAGGACCCCTCCATTTGTGTAGGATAGTAAAGATAGGACGGTCCGGGGATTCGTTGAGCCTGGGGCACAGAAAATGTTCCCCTGGGAGCTTGCATAGAGTAGCCAAAATAATATGGTGATCCCATTGTGGAAGATGATGATCCATACAGTTGATGATAGTATTGTGCCTGCTGAATTTGTGGATTGTAGAGACTCTGCATTGCCATTTCAATAACATTCCTTATATAACATTGTTGGCTGAACTACTTGCTTTATATTGAACAACTTATATATTGATATTAATTTTTGAAATCGACAGAGAAAGTGGTTTCATTGCTTACTTGGTGATACCCGTATTCAGGACTGTAAGTTGGGTACCTGGAAAGATGGAATTCATCAACAACTTTTAGTAGAAATATGAGCAAATGACTATTATTGTGTTGAAAATTATTGGATACATCAACCCTATGTTTCTTTTGTATAGCGAAACTAACGCCTTTAGCCTTTTTTTTACTGCATTGGTATTGTACGGTTCGCATTCTTTTACCTTATTTTTCATCCTAGTGACGACAAATTTTCTAGTCAAATGCATGCATGATCATTTTTAATGTACAGTCTGATATGCCTGCTGCATCGAGAAACACACATAATTAAGCATAATGTAATTATACTAACACAAAAAATTCCTGGTTAAAAAAGGTATGCATGTACCACTTCCTCTAGCTAGAGGACGGAATAAATAACAGGTTGATTTGATTGAAAACAATAGGGAGTGCTCACCCATAAGGTGGATACATGACAGGTGGGAGCGGCGGCAGCGGTGGAGGCACTGCTGCTGTAACTTCACTAAAGGACGGTGCACCTTGCTGTGCAACTCCCTGAAAAGGACTGCTACCTTGATTTCTTCCTGCATTGAAATCCATCATATCCATATCATTATTGTCACCATCTGTTTTTTTTTTTCCTTTCACTTCCCATAAATTGAATTAATGAGTATGGGGACCTCGTGGCGGCGAAGGTCTAGACCTTCCAAGTGAAGCAATGTTACAGTTTGCTCTTCTTCCACCAATCACAGGGTTTGGTTCAACACATGCCCTCCGAGCTGACTCAGGATCACGGAAAGTAACCTACGCGAATGAGAATGTTGTGATATTGACATTATTGCACAAGAAACTTAGCCATTAACAAAGTAGTGTGTCTATATATATATATATAAAAGAACTTACAAAGCCATATCCTTTAGATTTGCCAGTGTTTTTGTCAGTGATGATAACAGCTTCAAGAATCTCTCCAAACCACTCAAAATACCTATGCATTTCGTCGGTCGGGGTCTCCCAAGCTAGTCCCCCAACAAACACTTTGGTAAACGTTGTGTCACCAAAATTTGGTCGATATTGTGCATAAGCCATCGCGTCTACACAAACAAAACAACTAGTGGGTAACTTTCCTTTTGCATGAAAACACTCGTTTCGGATGGATCACATATTACAGTCGACAAGAAAGGATCAGACAGCCGAATCTTGTGCAATTCCACCTCATTTCCTTTACTTCTTGTTGCTCTACTGTGCTTGTCTCTATATCCATTTCCCCTTCTTTTAAGCTCTCATTTCACCACAAAGGAATCATTGAAGAGGGTCAGAGAATGAGATGAAGCCTTGTTTATGATGTTACAGAAGTTGTTGCCGGTTGCTATTATTTGCTGAGTTGGTTAGTAAAAGAGAAAGCCAGAATGGGAAAGAAAGAAACCAGTAGTTTAAAGACAGAGAGACCAGACAGCTGCAAACGTTAATTTGCTGTATATTGAGAGAGAGAGAGAGAGAGAGAGAGAGAGAGGGTAGGGGGTTTAATATACTCTCTTCAACCCCTTAGCCAGTAGTAGTGTTTTTCTTCTTTTTTCAGGGTTACTTTTTCCATGTGTCGTCTTTTAAGCCTTTGCCTCAAAAACTTGAAATTTATTGTTTATTTATGCATATACAGATAATTTTTCTAATACCAATAATATTTAAAAACTTATGGTTTACATACGAAATTATTTGATGTGATTGGTGTGTATCGTCTTTGTACATCATTATATTAGTGATTGATTTTGGAGGGGTATAATATTATAAAAATACTTATAATTATTATAATAAAAACAATATTTGCAGGCCTATTTCCATTATTATATTAACGAACCGGGCTTGTATAAGCTGGAAGAACATTTAGAAATCAATTAATCTATTGAAAGGACCATTGACTCTCTCATGATGTTTATAGTCCAACTGATTGATCCTGCTTCTTTCTTAACTTTTTTTTCTTAAGATTTCAAATCTATGTCTAAGCATCAACGATTTTTTGTTTTTCTAAAAATGATGAAAATTAAAATCTGTTAATTTAATAGTTACTTTTTATATTCAGATCATTTAATTGTAAAATTTGATTTTTTTCTTCAAATTTTAAAAATATTACCATTCAATATTTTTTTAAATATTATTACATGATATGACAGAAATTTATTTGAGTATTCTTTGTAAGTTAATAAGATTATTGATAAAATTCAAATCTTGATTTTCATCCATGTGTTCACCGGCGGATCCAAGCCAAGGCCTACCTAGGCCATGCCCCCCTTATGGGTAAATTACTTATTGAACAACTCATTAATTATTTACTTTTTTATTTGTGTCATATAATTATTATTTATTTTAAATTACATTAAATTTATGTTTTGATTATGTTTTGGTTACTTATCTTTAAAAATTTAGAAGTGATGTTGACGTATCATTATAAGATAATGTCATATCATGATTAAAAAATAATGAAAAATATCATTTTAACATCGTTAAATTTTTTAATGGTGAGTGATCAAAATAGAACCAAAATGTAATTGTAATGCCCGAATCTTGGGTTAGTAGTTTGGATCAACCCGAAGCCCAAAGTTAAGCCATTGAACCTTATAATATTAGTTGGATCAAGTTGTTGTTAATGGGCTTGAGTTAGGGCCCAAGAGAATTATGAAGGGAGATAAGTAATTCATGATAATAAAAGTAAAGGGAATAAAAGTGTAGTTTACCCATAGCTATTTTGGAAGCTGAAAAATCCCTCTTTATATTATGTTTTCACCATGAACAACCCCTTACACAATTCACCAAACACTCTTCCTATCTTCTCATCTTTCTCTCTTCTTCTATCT